GTGTGCACATTTCACTCTATCAGAGTAATCTCAAATGTGTGTCACACATCTGTGCACAAAACTCCATGCCTTTTACTCACCAAAGAGCTCTGCATATGAACCATAACTGTGGCTACTTTGCATGTGTTATTTTTGTTTTGTTTTGTATTGTTTTGTCTTTTGAGAGAGTCTCGCTCTGTGGCCCAGGCTGAAGTGCAGTAGCATGATCTCGGCTCACTGCAACCTCTGCTTCCTGGGTTCAAGCATTTCTCCTGCCTCAGCCTCCACAGTATCTGGGATTACAGGCACCCACCACCACACCCAGCTTTTTTTTTTTTTTTTTTTTTCTTTGAGACAGAGTCTTGCTCTGTCACCCAGGCTGGAGTGCAATGGCACAATCTCTGCTCCCTATAACCTCTGCTTCCTGGGTTCAAGCGATTCTCCTGCCTCAGCCTCCCGAGTAGCCGCGACTACAGGCATGCACCACTACACCCAGCTAATTTTTGTGTTTTTAGTAGAGACGGGGTTTCACCATGTTGGCCAGGATGGTCCTGATCTCTTGACCTTGTGATCCACCCGCCTCGGCCTCCCAAAGTGCTGGGGTTACAGGCGTAAGCCACTGCACCCGGCCTTTGCATGTATTCTTACAAGGATATACAGGCACATGAATGTGTACATGGGTGAATGAGGGTTTGAACATGTATGTCTCTATACCTAAATTAGAAGCAGAAAATTGGCCAGGTGCAGTGGCTCATGCCTGTAATCCCAGCACTTTGGGAGGTCAAGGCAGGTGGATCGCCTGAGGTCAGGAGTTCGAGACCAGCCTGGACAACATAGTGAAATCCTGTCTCTACTAAAAATACAAAAACATTAGCTTGGCGTGGTGGCGGGCGCCTGTAATCCCAGCTACTTGGGAGGCTGAGACAAGAGAATCACTGGAACCCAGGAGGCGGAGGTTGCAGTGAGCCGAGATCGCGCCATTGCACTCCAGCCTGGGCAGCAAGAGCGAAACTCTGTCTCAAAAAAAAAAAAAAAAAAGAAGCAGCAGCAGCAGAAAATTAAAAAGGGGTGACTGGCAGAGGTAGGCACAATGCCAGAATCAAGGAATAAGAGCTGTCAGAAATGACACAGACAAAGATAGTTAAAATAATAGAATTCTAAGGCTGGGAATGTGGCCCATGCCTGTAATCCCAGCACTTTGGGAGACTGAGGTGGGCGGATCACCTGAGGTCAGGAGTTCGAGTCCAGCCTGACCAACATGGAGAAACCCTGTCTCTAATAAAAATACAAAAATTAGCCAGGCATGGTGGCACATGCCTGTAATCCCAGCTACTTGAGAGGCTGAGGCAGGAGAATCACTTGAACCCGGGAGACGGAGGTTGTGGTGAGCCGAGATTGCACCATTGTACTCCAGCCTGGGCAACAAGAGTGAAACTCTGTCTCAAAAAAAAAAAAAACCTCAGTGAAAACCCCCTTCTTGCAACACAAAGTGGTGCCTTCCACCCCTCCCTGACTGTTGCCATGTATGACAAACATACACAGAGATGAGCCCAGGCCAGACACAAGGACACACAAAACACAGAAGGACCCCACCAAAGACAGCCAGTTCTCTACACAACAGTAAAATCAGGGAAGCTGGAAAGGAATGGGGCAATACAGAAATTGAAAGAAAAAAGGACACAAGCTGATGGGAGAGCAGGGAGCCAATGAGCAATTGCACCTGGTGCAAGATTCCTGTGCCCCAACTGCTACAGCAGCTGCCCCTCAAACTGACAGAATGTCTGAGCTTCTTCACAGTTGTGGGGTGGAAGGCATCTCTAAGGTCCTAGGCTCTCTCAGGTTGGAAGGGCATTTTTCAAGAATAGAGGCATCTGAGGGATGGGGCTGTGGAGAATCATCATCTCAGCACCTCCAATGGTGAATCTTTGCTGAATGTACAGATTTAAATAATATTTTATTTATGAGATGGAGAAAAAGCCAAGGTGGACTGAAATGACAGTATTAAAAATCTTGCCCACAGAGGCTGGGTGCAGTGGCTCATGCCTGTGACCCCAACACTTTGTGAAGCCAAGGCAGGTAGATCACTTGAGGTCAGGAGTTCAAGACCAGCCTGGCCAACACAGTGAAACCCCATCTCCACTAAAAATACAAAAAAATTAGCTGGGCATGGTGGCACATGCCTGTAATCCCAGCTACTAGGGAGGCTGAGGCAGGAGAATCACTTGAACCCAGAAGATGGAGGTTGCAGTGAGCTGAGATTGCGCCACTCAAGCCTGGGTGACAGAATGACTCTATCTCAAAAAAAAAAAAAAAGGAAGAATCTAGCCTACAGAAATACTCACGCAACTGCAAAAGGACATCCACTGGAGCATTATCTGTAAGACTGAGAAACTGAAACCAAGGTACATGGCCATTAACAGAGGACTAGCTAGATAAATAAACTACTTAAATCCTTATAATTAACATGGAATTAAAACATAATTTTAAAATACATCCTTAAAATTAACATGGAATAATACGAAGCATTTTTTAAAAAGTAGATCTGTAAGTAGAAAAGAATGTCACTGATAATGCTAGAGGAAAAGCACGTTGTAGAATTACATGTAGACTAGTATGATCTCATTTTTGTAAAAGAACAAAACATACCTCTTTTTTTAATTTTTTTTTTTTTTTTTTTGAGATGGAGTCGCACTCTGTCACCCAGGCTGGAGTGCAGTGGTGCAATCTTGGCTTACCGCAACCTCTGCCTCCTGGGTTCAAGTGATTCTCTTGTCTCAGCCTCCTGAGTAGCTGGGATTACAGATGCCTGCCACCATGCCCAGCTAATTTTTGTATTTTTAGTAGAGATGAGGTTTCACCATGTTGGCCAGGCTAGTCTCGAACTCCTGACCCCAGGTGAGCTGCCCACCTCAGCCTCCCAAAGTGCTGGAATTACAGGCATAAGCCACCACACCCTGCCAAAACTACATCTCTTGAAGGAACAAGAAAAAAAAAATCAGTGTGCCTGTAGTCCCTGCTACTCAGGAGGCTGAGGCAGGAGGATAGCTTGAGCCTAGAAGTTCGAGGCTGAAGTGAGGTATAATCACACCACTGCACTCCAGTCTGGGTGACAGAGCAAAACACCTGTCTCTTAAAAAAAAAAATCAGGAAGAATATGCAAACTGCTAATAGTCCTTACCATGAGAAGTTGGGGAAAAGGTGAGTGTTTTTATGTTACACTGTGGTACTGTTTGAAATTTCACACTAAGCATACATTAATTTAACTATATATATAGAGAGAGAGAGAGAAAGTTGTGTATATATATAATTGTATATATATAGTTGTGTGTATATATAGTTGTGTATATATATAGTTGTGTGTATATATAGTTGTGTGTGTGTATATATATAGTTGTGTGTGTGTGTATATATATGTTGTCAGAGGCATTCCTTTCTATCTCCTTCTTACTCCCAGACTGCACTCACATCCCAGCCTCTGCCCAGCCCTCCATCCACCACCTCCTGCCCCAGCCCTACTTACAGATGCAGGCAGCAGCCAGCAGGCGGCTGGCAGCATAAGGGGCCAAGCAGCTTGGGAAGAGAGGCTGTACCATGTAGTTGGCAAAGGTGATGGCAATGATGGCCTGGCTGGTGGGCTCACTGATGAGCAGGGAGGTCCAGAGTCTGATGAAAGCAAGGAATCCTCCAAAGGCCTCCAGGATATAGGCATAGCTGGCCCCAGATTTCTTAATGGTGGTGCCCAGTTCCGCATAACAAAGGGCCCCAAAGACGGAGAAGAGGCCCCCGACAGCCCAGATGACCAGAGAGAGACCAAAGGAGGCACTGTATATGAGCACACCCTTGGGGGAAACAAAGATGCCCGAGCCGATCATGTTCCCCACAATCAGGCACACGCCGTTAAGCAGTGAGATCTCCTTCTTCAGCTTTAACTGCTCCGGCCCTGGGCTGGCCCCATCACCCAAAGGGGAGGTTTCCACCTCAGGTTGGGAGGCCCCTTCATACTCAGTGCTGTCAACCATGGTGGAGGAGAGGAAACCCTTCACCAGCTTCCTGGCATTGCCCTTTAAGGAAGAAAGATGATGCTATATATTAGGTGGTTGGCAATTACACAGAACCTCTACCTGCCTCCAACGCAGGCTAATATGGGCAGCCCACCAACCACTGCAGAGACCTCCAAATAACCTTTTCTCTAGCTCACTCATCAAAACAACCCCAACTTGAATATGTATGTATTTATTCATTTATAGACAGAGTCTCGCTCTGTAGCCCAGGCTGGAGTGCAGTGGTGCAATCTTGGCTCGGCTCACTGCAACCTCAGCCTTCCAGGTTCAAGCACTTCTCTTGCCTCAGCCTCCCAAGTAGCTGGGATTACAGGCACCTGCCACCACGCCTGGCTAATTTTGTTTGTTTGTTTGCTGTTTTTTGTTTTTGAGATGGAGTTTCGCTCTTGTTGCCTAGGCTGGAGTGCAATCTCAGCTCACCGCAACCTCCACCTCCCAGGTTCAATTTTGTATTTTTTTTATTCCCGGCTAATTTTGTATTTTTAGTAGAGACGGGGTTTCTCCATGTTGGTCAGGCTGGTCTCAAACTCCTGACCTCAGGTGATTCGCCCGCCTCAGCCTCCCCAAGTGCTGGGATTACAGGCATGAGCCACCTTGCCCGGCCTCCAACTTGAATTTTTAAGAGAAGGCACTCATTCGCCAGAGAGAAAGCATCTGTCTCTCATCATTAGGATATTGCTGCTCACCCAACTCACCAAATAGAGAACGAAATCTTGGGCTGGGCACAGTGGCTCATGTCTGTAATCCCAGCACTTTGGGAGGCCAAGGCGGGCAGATCACCTAAAGAAGGGAGTTCAAGACCAGCCTGCCCAACATTGAGAAACTTGGTCTCTACTTGGTCTATACAAAAATTAGCCATGTGTGATGGCACATGCCTGTAATCCCAGCTGCTTGGGAGGCTGAGGCAGGAGAATCACTTGAGCCTGGGAAGTGGAGGTTGCAGTAAGCCAAGATCAGGCCATTGCACTCCAGCCTGGGCAACAAGAGCAAAACTCCGTCTCAAAAAAAAAAAAAACAAAACAAAACATAACAAAAAAAACACTAAATGTTGGTTCTCTCTGAGCCTGCTATAATGCAAGATAGGCATGGGGGCAGCGTGGCAGTTCCCAGAAAATAACCATAATGGCTTCACCCTGAGTTTTCAGCCTTATCCAAAACCCGTCTTCCCTCCAATTTCAGCTTCAGCGATCACCTGCGCTGAGATACAACATTAGGAACCGATCTTACAAGCAACTAATCTGTGGGAGCGCCTCATGACGCTGCTCTTTTCCCCAAGGACTCTATGTCTGCCAAACCTAAAGGCTTCAGAAATCTGCTGGAAACCCACAACCATCCTCCTGCCCAAGGAGCATCCCTTAACCCTTAGCTGGAGTCTTCAGCCCTGGCAAAGCCCAAGTAGACCCACCTCACCCTGAAAGAAAACAGGCTATTCTCTTTTCCTCGCTTTTCCTTTCCCAGATACCTTTTTCCCGGTCTCTGGTATTCCAAGCCTCCTTCTCTCAGATCCCTCACATCAGCATCGTTGAATCACCCAAAAAAGTATGAATGAGAGAAGGGTGATCCAATGTACAACGAAATCTAGAGATGATTGGAGGCAGCTGATGGCCACTCCCTACCCCAGAGTTGCTGCTGGAGAGATACCACTGCAAGCCAAGGCAGGAAGACAGCTGCAGCCAGGCAGCACATGCTGGAAAACACCGAGCAGGAGACAGCTGAGAGGAAAACAGAAGAGGCTAGTCAAGCAATGGAGAGATATTAGGGCGAGAGGCACTCCGGAGAAGAAACAATTAGACACTGCACAGCAGCAAAGACGAGGGTAAGCAAGGCGAGTGGAGATGAGAAGAGGGTGGAACGCACACTTACTCCTCGGTCCCGGATATAAGCAGGTTCTCACGGCAGTGCCAGCAGCAGTCAGGAAGAGAAGTGCCTTCCAGGATCTGTGGTCTGATGCTTCTCCTTCCCAGCCAGCAGTAAAAGGGAAGGCCAGAAAAATGCCTATGGATTTAAGCAAGAAGGGTGGAGGAGGTGAGGCAGCCTGCAAAGGAAGGAGTGAGGGAGGGGGAAAGGACTGTTAAGCAACCATCTGTGTCCAAGGTTCACTGGCCCTTCACATCTGCAAAAGGGGTGGCTAGGAGCTCTTGGCTCAGCACTTTCTGTGATAAGAAGTCACTCTCTCAGGAATCTCCTTTGTCAGCTCTGCTCTGGGACCGGGGGCCCAGAAGAAAGGACAGTCAGCTGGGTGCAGTATCTGTAGCCCTGGGGAAACTGTTCCAGACCAAGTTAGCTGAGGACAGGACAGTAGCTGGGAAGGAATACACAGCACTCTCTCTCTCTGTGTGTCCTCCATGCCCCACCCTAGCCTCTCTTCTCTCTCAACCCAAGCATTTAAGAAAGGGAGGACGGTTGCACAGTGTGACACAAAGGCTTGTTCCCATGCTGAGATTACAGGAAGTGTAAGAGCAGTCTTTACACCCTGTGACTGGGCGTTCTAAGAGAACTCTGCACACTTCCCCATGCAAAGAGAGACTGGGAGGTTGCCTCCAAACCTGGGCCACTGCCCCAAAGTCTGAGCCTCAGACTACTTCAAAAGAAACACAGTCAAGAGATCAAATATCTGACTGCATCCCCACCAGACCCATGTGCCTTTTCATTCTTGACAAAACATACCAAGATTTTTGGGTAAGCATAAATTCCTATGAACGACTTCCTCATATATAAGTTTACTCCACTTTCCTAAAAAATATGAGGAAATCAGGCCGGGCGCGGTGGCTCACGCCTGTAATCCCAGCACTTTGGGAGGCCAAGGCAGCTGGATCACAAGGTCAGGAGATCAAGACCATCCTGGCTAACACGGTGAAACCCTGTCTCTACTAAAAATACAAACAAATAAAAATAAAAATAAAAATTAGCTGGGTGTGGTGGCGGGTGCCTGTAGTCCCAGTTACTCGGGAGGCTGAGCCAGGAGAATGGCAGGAACCCAGGAGGCAGAGCTTGCAGTGAGCCGAGACTGGGCCACTGCACTCCAGCCTGGGTGACAGAGCGAGATTCCGTCTCAAAAAAAAAAAAAATTTTAATAAAATGAGGAAATCAGATTTCACTGAATTCTGTTGGACAGACAGGCCCAGAACAGGCAGAGAAAGCTGAGCATTTTTTGGAAATCACATGGTTTATGCTGTCTTTATTATTTACTTTAAATCTGGTATTCTATTTTACCAACAGAAATAGACCCTATCCATTCTGAAATCCAACTGTCTGTTTCTTCTCATATCTCTTCTAACCCTCTTTGGTTATTCTACAACCAGAGAATAGAGATCTAAATATCTCTGGGAGACATCTCCACCATACATCCTCCCATTCTAGCTCTTTAAACTTTTAATTTAATCTAGGAGGAGGATTCTGGTGTGAGCGTTCCCAGAGATCATGCTTCTCCCAAGACAGGCTTCACAGTGATCTGAAATCCTTCTGGAGGAGACTATCCTTTTCTCCAAAATGCTCCTGTAATAATAATTGCTATCACTTATTGAGCACTTACCTGCGTCAGACACACTGCTAAGGACTTTAAGCACATCATCTAATGGAACCACCAGAGCTCATATACTCTTAATCACACAAGTATACTATCCATCTCCCCATCCCCCTGGCCTGCCCTAGTCTCTAGGCCTTCTTTTTATTTTATTTTACTTTATTTATTTATTTATTTATTTTATTTATTTTTTGTTTGTTTGTTTGAGAGAAGGTCTCACTCTGTCACCCAGGCTGGAGTGCAGTGGCACGATCTTGATTCACTGCAACCTCCACCACCTCCTGGATCAAGCAATTCTCACGCATCAGCCTCCTGAGTAACTAGGATTATGCCTGGCTAATTTTTGTGTTTTCATTTTGGTATTTTTATTTATTTTGTTTTATTTTATTTTATTTTGAGACAGAGTCTTGCTCTGTTGCCCAGGCTGGAGTGCAGTGGCGTGATCTCGGCTCACTGCAACCTCCGCCTCCCAGGTTCAA